CCGAATGCTCTGAGGGGTTGGGTTGGAAAGCGATACGTGTTTGCTTGCTGCCGCTCTGGGAAAGGAAATCGGAGAGCTGGTGGAGAGCACTGACTCTTAGCAGTGAGAAACTTTTGCTGAGCAAGGCTGTAAAACACAGGGTGGGGCTTGAGGGAGCCCCAGGCTGGACGTGGGGATGGGGCAGAGGGATGCCACGTCCACGGCACCGGGGGAGCCGCCAAGCCTCAGCCACCCCTCTTCTGCCTCTGCTCCGCAGGATCTTCGGCTTCCCCCTCCACTACACGGACGTCTCCAACATCGGCCGCGGGGCTCGCTCGCCAGAAGCTGCTGGGGAGATCGTGGAGCATCCCCGTCATCCAGCACCTCTTTTCCCCGCTCAAGGATTACTTTGCCTGTGAATAGCAAGCCGAGCATCCCTCGTCTCTCTGGTAAAGATGCACAGCTCCGCTGCCGTGGCGGGGGAGGGACGGGGTGCCAGACTCTGCCACGGCACCATCCCTCCCCGGCCATGTGCTGTGGGAAGGCAGCCTGGCCCCGCAGGGAGAGCTGAGGAAATGTCTTTAACCAAAGAACCTGGCAGGGTTAACTTTTCTTTAAAGGGACTAACGGCAGTGATACGTAGAAAATGATGGACAAAAGAGCTTTAATTACCCAGCACAGGAAGCTCTATGCATAACCGATGAGACGGGACGTCTCCTCCACAGCATTAAATATTCTGTTTTAGCCTAGAGCTGGAAAGTCACCACTTGCTGAGCAGTAAGTGTGGAGGCAGCTGCTGGGGTGCTGCAGGCGAACTTGAACTACAGCGAATGATTGCTTTTCCTAAACAAACAAAACCTCTCTTGAAGCAACTGCCAAAAATCCCCAAACTGTAGCAGCAGGTGTAAGGGACCCTGGTCAGGTTACATACACTGAACGTGCAGGATACAGAAACCAAATTTTTTTAAGACTTTTTTGATAAACTTTAATTTTGTTGTTTAACGTCTATTGCTGCTTTAAGGCATTACATAAGAATGTGGAGATTCCTAGACCTGAATGTAGCTGAAACTGAACTGTGAGGTGATAGAATTACTTTTCTAGCTAGAACTAAAGAAATATTGGTTTATATGTTTGGCCGTAGTTTACAAATATTCACTACTTCCTTTTTAAAGCATCTAAAATTTTTCCTTACATTTTAAAATCCTGCTGAGTGGTTTGAAAGCTTACACAGTAATCAGAGCAGGGAGAATTTGGGCTCCAGTGTCCATAAAGGAAAATGTTCTCTGAGCATTCATTTCCCAAATGAATGTGGTACATCGGCAGGAAGGGTAGCGTAGCGGTCGATGTCGTCTTCAAAATACAGCCCCTCAAATGTCACGTACGATGTCACGAACCCGAGCAGTATTGGCAGTGCGTTAGCTGTGGTGCAGGGGCTTCCTTGCAGAGGGGAAATCCCACCCGACCCCGGCAGGGCCGCGGGGCTGGAGGGTCCAGGAGCGCAGCGTTGGTCTCGCCTGCACCGATCCTGCTCTGTGGGCAGGGGGAGCTGACCCCGCGGCGGCAGCGCGGTGGGAAAGCTGCTGCGGCCGGGGGCTGTGCGCGTCCCCTCGCTGCAGGCACTGTGCGTGCCGGGGGCAGGAGCAGCTCCTGGGGGTCCACAGGCAAGGGCTGTACCTCTTCTTCCCTGTATGCCCATCTCCCCGTGCATGACTGTGCACAGAGGTGGGATGCTGCTGGTGTTTGTGTGCCCAGCCCCAGCTTGGCAGTGACCTGGGGGGCTCATGGGGCTGTACCCCCAAACTGGGAGCTTCTGCAGCTACCGCCATGCTCGCTTTTGATTGCCCTCCTCTGCTCCCTAACTTTGCCGGAGTGATTATCTTGCTGTCTGTGAAGTCCTGGGCTCTCTGTCCCCATGGCCGGCGTCCGGGGAGATGCGGGTGCGTGCGCAGCAGAGCCCGTCCATCTCCGACAGATTTTCTGTAGCCACGGGGCTGCTGTGCCGGCAGGCATCTCCCAGGGACTCTGAACTCCAATGCACATTTCAATGCACTGAAACAACTCGTGATGTCCCCCCCTCAGTCCCTCTGTTCTCCCCTACCTCTGCTCTTCACTATAACCTGTTGCCTGGGTCTGGCAGAGACCCTGGGGTGCCTTCTCAAAACTAATCGGGTCCAAACCAAGGGCCAACCCTCCGCCTGATGCCAGGCTGTCTCACAAGGTGTTGTACAGCATCAGTGGGAAATGAGAGCTTCTCTCCTGGCTCCTTCTACCTCTCTGACACTTGGGGACCCCCTTGCACCCCTCTCATGGGCGGTGGAGGATGGCAGCCTCCCTGGAGGAGGGAGCCTCCCATTTTCCACTCTCGTGTGTGGCTTTCCACCCTCTGACCATCCCCAGGCTCTGAGGGCCATCTTCTCTTGGCCTCCAACCCAAGGCTGCAGTCAGGAATGGGCAGGAAGGGAAGCCCAGGTAGTTCAAAGTTTTTTTTTTTCCCTTGGTCCTGCCCAGAGGTTATTCTTTAGAGTCTTCCCATAGCGGGTTGTTCTCAATGACAAATGTGTTTGAGCCTCACGCCTTAGTTAAGGAAATGCTGGAGAAAGCCAAGCAGTTTCCTCTGTGTCACTGCTGGCATCTGCAACGTCCAGCAAGTGCTGGGGGACAAGTAGCATCCTCTCGCCACCTTTGTCACCAGCCCCCTGACCGGGAAGATGGCGGGGTGGGTTCTGTGGGTGTGGGAGGTGTTCAGGAAGCCTGGCATTGCCGCTGCTGTGTTGGCTGGGTTCGGACCCCACGCCAAGCTCTGATCCGTATACCCATAGCCTGGAACCGAGTCACTACACTGACTCCTCCGCCCAGCCGCTGTCCCCACGTGGAGCCCGACGCGGGGCCTCGGGGGTGATGGCCATCCTCTGCCGCGGGATCCGCTGATGGGTTTCATTTTTTCCAAATGGAGCTAACGAGTAACCTCCACTCCGTGGCATCTCTAATTTCATACTCCAGATCTCGCATCCTTTCCTATCTGATCAAAGGAAAAATAAGTAGATGAGGAAAAAAAGGACTTGGGGAAAGTAAACAAAGATAAAAGAGGAATGAGAATTGTCTTGGCATTAAGCTTACTTGATAAGAATTGTAGTAGACAAGTCTTCCTTGAAATATTTTTCCCTCTTAAGAGCTGCCTTTTATTATGTGTTTATAAGAATATTGTAAGGAGAGGTAGATTTCAGAAACGCCTTTTTAATACTTTTTAAAGGTTTCTAACTCTCCCTGGTGCTATTTTTTTAGGTTAAGGATTTTTGATGTCAAAAATTTTGCAGGTTTGTATACAATCTTGTAAAAAATAAAAGACGTGTATCATTTTGTTGAACACATTTCATATGCTTTTTGTATCGGGAGTGCGAAAACTCAAGACTGTGCCTTGTCCATGCAGTTTTACTAATTTCATGTGGGAAAGAAAGGGGATCCATGTCAACAGTTTACCATTTATCGCCGTCTAATTAAAAATCGGTATTTCTGTATGACCGGACAGTCCTTATTTGGTAAGCTCACGGTGTGAAAAAGAAGCGGGTTTTACACAGCAACGCGTTTCACAGCAGATGGGCCCGGCTGCCCTTGCCCCCGCTGCCCGTTGAGGTGACGGGCCCAGCGCAGCGGCCCCGGGGCAAACCAGGCGTGTGACGCCAAAGCGGCCC